GGGAAGGGAAGGGAAGGGAAGGGAAGGGAAGGGAAGGGAAGGGAAGGGAAGGGAAGGGCTAAGACCATGCATATTTTGTGCAGCTAATCCAATGTTCTCCCTGGAAGACAACCTTATAAACTAGTCAGATTAAAATAATTTAATTTTAACTCCAGCATTGGAAAAGTAAAGATAAGGCTAATAAATCTGCAAAAAAAGAAAAAGTGGATGACCACCAGATGGCAAAAAAGAGAGTCTTCCATCTAATGGTTGTCAGTATCTTTGCAACACAGCTACAGTATAGTGACTATAGATGTTAATGCAGGGCCTGAGAAAGGGTGTCTGTGGTTGGATTTCCCCATTGGCAGCCAAAGGCTCCTCTGCCCTAAGATAAGGAGATCCAATCCATCCTATGGGTTTTGGGGATGCTTTCCAGGATTGTAACTATAACTAGTTTAATTTCTTCATTCTTGAGATGGAAAAGAAGAGCATATATCTAAGAAAAGAATCCTCAACACCTGCCCAGACATTCCCAGAATGTTCTAGGGAAGAACCCAGAAAAAGGAATCTTGCTGCAGCAGTCATGAGATAAAAGTTAATTTTATCTGCAACTGTAAAAGTTCTCTTGGCTTTTAAGATGGGATTCCCCTCCCCCCCCTTTCTGGCCGCTACTCAGGATGTGGTCTCAAAGTAATAGAAGCCCCACTGCTTACCATGGCAGCTGGGTACAGTGGCTCAGTGAATGTGGTTAAGAAACGGTAAATGAGGTTTATGGAACTGGTGATGCCGTAGAAGGTCAAGGAGCCTGCAGCATAGTCCAGCAGAACCCCGATGGTCTTGTAGTAGTCACCTTGAAGCACAGTCTGGATATTATTATGCCAGACAGAGAAATTAACTGAGTCCCACTCCAAGCACCAGGAATAATTATTCCTGCCAATCAGATACAACATGCATGATTTTTCGGTCCTATGTCGGTAGCTGTAGGCAACTCCTAAGCACAGCCAGGTATCTGAAATCTCAGCCTCCCAATAATGGCAGCCCTCACAGAGGCTGCGAGTACCAAGCAGCTGGGGCCAGTGGTTGAATCCATGGGTGGGTTTTGAATAGGTCTCCAACAGGATCCCCATGTTCAGCACTGAGTGAGTCTCTTTAAACAGGAAGAGCTCTTCATTGGCAGTGGAGGCATCAAAATTCAGGACACAGTAGTCTGTTTCATGGAAAGAAAAAAAGAAAAGAGGGAAACATTACATTCTGTCAGCCTACTTCAATCCAGAAGAAGGATAAGAATGCCAGGAAGATTTGGGTAGACTAGAATGCAAGGTTAATTTTATTCTAACTAGAACAGAGAGAACCTCCATTTCTTCTTGAGTAGTACATGTAGATACTGATGAAGCTGGGAAGCAAGACATGGATATTCAGTCAGAATGTATTTCATACTTTTGCCAGCTGTGATGAGCCAGTGAAATATAGCAGCTAGAATGCTGGACACAGAAAAAAATCAAGGGTCAAGTCCCTACTTGACCAGGGGCCTCACTGGGCAAAAGAACAGTTGAACCTGCACTGAGTAGAAAGGCAGGAGTCATAATTATCAGCCTGAATCAACCTGCTGCAGGATGAAGGACTCTTCACCGGAGGTTATGGACTGTGGTCTAGCATGTTGGTCCGGTGAGGGTTGGTAGTTTGATGTTTCTAGTCTTCCCGAAAAACAGGTCCAGGGCTGACAGAGTGACTGGCCAAAGTTACCCGGCCAGTTTCTGTGCCTGAGCAACGACTAGAATAGGTATTGTCGAAGGCTTTCACGGCCGGCATACGATGGCTGGGGTGGGTCTTCCGGGCGGGGTGGCCGTGGTCTTGAAGTCTTGTTTCCTAACGTTTCGCCAGCACCTGTGACCGGCATCTTCAGAGTGCAGGAGCACAGACAGGAGCAGTTCTCTCTGTGCCCAGGGTGAATTGCCCAAGGCAATTTATTTAAAAATAAAAGCTAAAGGTGATAACTATGAATTCAGTCAAATATTGTGCAACTAAATAGGTCAAACCGATAGCAAAACATTTAATAGGAAAAAATGGTATGTTAAAACTTTTAAAAAGCCTTTCCCTCATACTAGGACTTTCATGCAGTGTCAAGCAAACCGTGTGGCCGTGGTCTTGAAGTCTTGTTTCCTAACGTTTCGCCAGCACCTGTGACCGGCATCTTCAGAGTGCAGGAGCACAGACAGGAGCAGTTCTCTCTGTGCCCAGGGTGAATTGCCCAAGGCAATTTATTTAAAAATAAAAGCTAAAGGTGATAACTGTGTGGCCGTGGTCTTGAAGTCTTGTTTCCTAACGTTTCGCCAGCACCTGTGACCGGCATCTTCAGAGTGCAGGAGCACAGACAGGAGCAGTTCTCTCTGTGCCCAGGGTGAATTGCCCAAGGCAATTTATTTAAAAATAAAAGCTAAAGGTGATAACTCTGGTATAGTGGCTGTTGGTGTTGTCCAGTATCTCTGTGTTTTCAAATAGGATTTTGTGTCCAGTGTGCTTGAGAGCATGTTCAGCTACTGCAGATTTTTCTGGTTGCTGTAGTCTGCAGTGTCTTTTGTGTTCGTCCCCCCCCCAGATCTCTATAAATACCCACAGAAGGGTCACTTCCCCCTGGGCACAGAGAGAACTGCTCCTGTCTGTGCTCCTGCACTCTGAAGATGCCGGTCACAGGTGCTGGCGAAACGTTAGGAAACAAGACTTCAAGACCACGGCCACACAGCCCGGAAGACCCACACCAGCCATCGACTAGAATAGGGTTCTCCAAAGTGGTCAATATTGACCCCCAAGGATCGATGGGACTATCCAAGGGGTTGATGTTGTTGTTGTTATTATTATTCATAGTACTATTAGTTAAAGTAGCATTTATTAAATTATTTTCATATAATAAATATTTGTGGGTCAATGAACAACCTGAAACTTCATGAAGCTGAGGAGTTTGGGGATCCCTGGACTAGAACCACTTTCCCTACTCCTAGTCCAGCACCTTAACCATTACACGATACTGGCTCTCATATATATGCATGTGTATGTGTGTGGGGGAAGGTAGGTAGGGAGTGTTAGAAATAAATATTTTTTAAAATTACACCCTGGTGTGATTCACATGTCATGCTAAGCCCTCATGCGGTTAAATGTTATTTGTGATCCCACCGCATGTTAAATGCAAGCTAGGCCATAATGACTCATTCAGGGAGCCACGGTTAAGCAACGTAGCCTTAGTATTAGCCATCATGATTATTTGCAAAGGGTAGCTAGAAATCAGTATGCACATATTCTCTAGGGCTTGTGAAGGCCTCCTGAGGTCCGGTGCGCCCCCTCCCTCATGGCCTTCAGGAAAGGTATTAAATCCTGGCTTTGCCAGAAGGCCTGGGGGGCAGAGGGGGCCGTCGCACCTGTGGAGATGGCTGGTGGGATGATGGGTGGCCCCCCCCCAGCATCTTACCGATTTTTATAGGGCCAAAATTAGAGGAGGTTTTTTACGGTATTTTAATATGTTTCTAAATTATTTATGGTTTTTAGCCATCTTGGAGAGAATTGTATTTCTTCGTCTTTATTGTGAACCGCCCAGAGTCACCCGCGGGGGAGATGGGTGGCATACAAGCCAAACAAACAAACAAACAAACAAACA